AGAACATCATAACCTTGATTTTAACATAAAAAAATCCAATTATAAAATATTTTTCAAGAGACTACTATACTTATATTAAATTTTCTTTATATATATATATATCATCTCATTTTTAGTAAATCAACAATCTTTATAGTTCTATTCAATTTTAATCTATAATCAAGGGAGATATAATATATATATATTTCGTTAATTTATGTTGTGATAAGCTTTTCCCATAAATCAATTAAATTATTCTGTTGAATGTTTATGTCATTCTGTTTTCTGATATATGTGTATAGTGCTATATGGGATAAGCAACGTATCATACATTAGATAGAACAGAAAAGAGAATAGTGCACGTGTATTCTCATTAGGAAGGTTAGAATAACAATCGAGACCACAAAACAATATTTGCTATAGTCAGAAAAAGAAGATGTCTCGTGTAAAAAGATACATTTTGAGAAGGACATGTGCATCAAGATTTTATTATTTACTATTATATATAAATATCAAAAATGGCACTGAAGCGCTTCGTTAGTTTATTTTGACTGGATAAATCAAAATAATATATTGATGTAAACTATGTATTTTTATACCCATTAATTCAATAAAAAAGAAATTGTCCGTATACAAATCTAATCATTATAAAGACATTCTTTTAATATTTTCTTGCATAATATATTGCGTTTTATACTCCAATACGATAGAATTGGATTAAGAAAGTAAAAATATAGAAGTAAATTCAAAAGAATGAATAAGAATAATATCGAATTATTATAAAAAAAAAGAGGAGAGAAGTTTATTTAAAAAGTATCAGACGATGAAGTAAATCAAAGAAAGAATAATACATATGAATCACAGTATAAGCTATTTCAATCAATATATTTACACTTGACTATTAATCAATTTTATTTACTAACCACTTAAAACATAACTATACAAACGTACTAGATGTATATTCTTATTTTTAGCATAAAATTTGATTTTATAAGAAATTCTCTTATTAAGTTTATCTTCTATTCAATTGTTTTTGTATTAAATACATAAATCAACAATTGATATAATTGCTTACACGTTTTTCTTCTTCTTCTTCTTCTTCTTCTTCTCTCCACGCCACTGTATTTAATCAATGCAAATGAAGACGCGAAGAAAAAAACATTCTCTTCTGATTAGCATTTGTAAAAAATGAAGTAAATATACTTGTAAGATGAACTGATATGTAAATGATAAAAGGTAATACTTCCTTCCGAATTCTAAATGAATTCCATTGGGATTAGATTTATTTGAGCATTATGTAGATATGCTAACCGATTTATTTATCTAGATGTATATGGAACATTCATATCACATCGAAGTTTGTCTAATCGAAGAATTAACTGATTTTTGTATGTGTTATTTTATTGAATTGATGAAATCTATTCTGAGAAAAATCTGTTTATTTCCCATGGAAATTTATTTTAATAGAAATTGTATAAATAAATCTGTTGAAGGTTGTCATTGTCGTTTCTTTTGAAAAAGGAGGAAGAAGAAGAAGAAGAAGAAGAATACACCTAATGATGAGTTGCTTTTATCATCTAGACCTATCATCAACTCTCAGATTTGATTTATTTATCTTAAAAAGCAATTCTTTGTTCTTTTATCAATAGAAACAAAAAAAATATGTTTATTTAACAAATATATATATTGATTTTCTTGAATGTGAAATGTTTATTAATTCTTGCCTTGTTTTAAAAATGATGATTGGCATATGTTAAACACAGCATGATCTCTCAACGAAAAAAGAAAAGATAAAAATCAATTTAAAGATTTGATGATGCAATTGAAGATAAGTTAATCCAGAAAATTGTAATATGAGATGATCTTGTTTTAAGAACAGATGTTTATACAGTAGCTCATTGAAAAGTGTTGAAGAAAAAGATATATGTATCATTTGTTGATGAGGAACACAATATGCTCGTTAAAGGTCTCTCTCGTATCAATGATTTGTTCGACTATGACAATAATTGACCGTTCTAACGTCCGGATAAAGAACATATTTAAATCAATATCATTCATTATTATTTATTAGATATTTTATATCAGAAAAAAGCAAAAACTTTCTTTTTGACAAGTCACGCTAATCATTCTTAAGTTTCTTTCTTTGAATAATTAGCAATTTTTCACGGTTATTATCATCTACTTTTCTTCATCGAAAAAAATGCAAATTAAACATTTAACCTTCAATATGCCTATGGCATTCTATATCATCTTAGATTTATTTTTCGATTAGCTAAGTAATCAAACATAAAAGATATCCGAATAGAAATATATATCTATACAATTTTTTTTTTAAAAAAAACTTTAGATCAGGAAGATATTCGAATTAAAGTTATATGCGTGGGCATAATAAATATCGATTTAATATAATTTAATTAGTAAAATTTTTGCTTCTGTTCAAGTGAATAAATGAAAGATTATTTTGTTTTTATTTCTATTAAACAAACAAACAAACAAACAAAAAGAAGAAAAAAAAAATTGTTGATACGCATTTAGAATTGTTTGATGATATAGCGTTTTTATTCTATGTATATATTTATATATATGTATATATATATATATTTCACTGTTTAACTTATTTCGATGTATATTTTTGTTAATTCTGGAATGAGAATATCTGACATTGATGATTAATTCTAATCATTTGAAAGGTTTAAATGCACCAATAGTTGATGTTGTTTGACTTGTCGTATTTTGTCTTTCTAAGAAACAAAAAAAAAGACTTATTTATATAAAGATTAAAGAGTTACTGACGTGATCAATTGGATATATTACACTTGACTGAGAGATGAATAGAAAAGCTTTAACAAATAAAATAAAACAAACCTTGAAGAGATATTGAAGATGATCGGTGAGGATTTTTTTCGGCCATATCAGCAAGTGACCATATACCCGACGATTTTTTTCTTTCAATTGGTTCAATTTCATCACATTTTCGTTTACGAGATGATGATGAAGATTCATCTAGAACAATTCAATTACACATACATAAGTCAATAAGTAAATTTCTTGTCTAATGAAATCAACCTGATGTTGTTGTAGTAGTTTGTTGATGTTGAAGAACAATAAGTGGAGCTGATGAATAATGATTTTGTGTTGTTATTCGTGCTGGTGGGGAACTACATTCATCATCACTAACATCACTGTTTGATCCTGCACCTTGTCTATCATCATCATCATCATCATTTGTTCTATTATTTTCAAAAAATGAGAAATAATTTATTTTTCCGAAAAAAAAGAAAGAAATACAAACCTATTTCTTGGTGACCATGTCATTTTATTTTCTTTTTTTAATCTCCTTCGTGCATTAGCAAACCATGTTGATACTTGTGTTAATGTCATTTTTGTCATAATAGCTAAATAAACTTTTTCGGATTTTGTTGGATATGGATTTTTTCTATGTTCATATAACCATGCTTTCAATGTAGCAGTTGTTTCTCTTGTTGCATTTTTTCTTCGACCAGCTAGATCCATATGTGGTGAATAACTAAAATTACTATAGATTATTTATAAATGTAAATACAAAAAAAGTTTTTTTTTACGATGGTCCATATGGTGAATAGCCAATCAATGCAACAGCTGCAGCTGGATCATATACATATGGATTATGATGACGCCATGGATTTGCATTGATTAAGGAATTAATATTTACATTTGATTCCTTTGAAATAAACTATTTTTATTTTATTTTATATTAAAATATATCAAAATAATATATTTACTTTAATTGTATCGGATGGATTAAGACCGGTTATCCTAAACACGAAACAAACATATATATGATTTGTAAATGTCAGATGTTTTCGTTTTATGATGATCGAAAACTTACATAATTAAAAGAAGAAGCAAGTGTTTTTGGTTGTTTGTTGCCTTTCTCTTTTTTTTTGTATGTGGTAGTTGGCAATGTTAATATGTTGTTAAACGAATAAGCATAAGAACAAGAGAGAAAGGGGAGAAAAAAAGAAACTAAGATTGTTTCTTGTTGTAGACACGATCGATACTCTCTTTTCTCTCATCCACCCTATTTGTCGATAAACTATTCAAGAAAAAAATCTCATTGGTTGACATACGAATGAGACACCATGTTTTACATTCTTGTTCGAGTACCTTGTTAACATCGCCAACGGGTGAAGAAGAAGAAGAAGAAGGAAAAAAAAAAGAAACTTTTTCTCTTCTTATTGGATGATGGAGGAAAAGAAGAGAAAAGAAAAAAGGCAACACTAATAATGAAGAATAGTGCCCTAAGTAAATCATCGAGTCATTATAGAAGAGAGAAGAGAGTGGCCTCACCCTCTTAAGTCAACATCAACATGACGACAACGACGCCATTCCTTCTCCTTCTTCTTCTTCTTCTTTTTTCAATAAGCAAACATTGCATTTATCGACTCAAATGGAGACAATTATTCTCCAGTTACTCTTACTTATCAACATAGAAAAATAAAGAACATAAACATTCAATATTATGTTTGTCTTTCACCATCTGCATCTCACTTAGGTTTTTTTATTCATATAAATGGAATTGACTTAAAGAATGAATCTCTTTATATTTTTTTTTTGTTTCATATAGTTTTCCTCTTTCTCTCTCTCCCTTTCTAATTGTTCTAACAATTATTTCGAACGTGTCGAAACCTTTTAACTTTGAAGATAAGATACATATAGTTAATGTCAAATGACACATATTGATTTAAAGAAAATGATGTAATCTCATCTATAAATGTCTGATGATGATCATGATGATAATGATCATGGCACAAGCATCGAATAAACAACAATATGCAGACATTGTTTTTTTCTTACTCTAATTAGAAAAGATCTGCTTGTTTAATTGGACTCATAGAAGAAGTCAAGATGATTGATGAGACAAGCAATGTGTCTTCTTTTCTTTTCTCAGTCTCCACCGTAATGTAATTCGTACGCTTGTTTTACATAATGATGTATCGACATCTGACGACAGATAAGCACCTCTCCACACATTGACAAATCTCCTCTTCTTCTTCTTCTTC